TTTGCTGCTATTTCCTGGTGTTTTTGCTGTTACTTCCTGGTGTTTTTGCTGCTGTTTACTGGTGTTTTTACTGTTATTTCCTGGTGTTTTTCCTGCTATTTCCTGGTGTTTCTGCTGGTATTTCCTGATGTTTTTCCTGTTATTTCCTGGTGTTTTTCCTGTTATTTCCTGATGTTTTTCCTGTTATTTCCTGGTGTTTTTCCTGTTATTTCCTGGTGTTTTTGCTGTTATTTCCTGGTGTTTTGTGATGGTTTCTGGCTTTTTGAGCTCCAGTTGCTGATATTTCCTGGTGCTTTTGCTGTTATTTCATGTTATTTTCCCTGTTATTTCCTGGTGTTTTTTCCTGTTATTTACCGGTGTGTTTGCTGTTCTTTCCTGGTGTTTTTGCTGTTATTTCCTGGTTGTTTTGTGATGGTTTCTGTGTCTGTGTGTGCAGTGCAGCTCCCCCCTCCCGGGCCTGAGGAGCCGGGACATGTGCTGCCGGGGACTGGGAAAAGGCTGGGGCTTCACCGACTGCGTCCTCTGTCCACAAACAGGTACACAAGGCAGCGTTTACCTCCTAAATGTACCTCCCAGGACCCCCAAAACGGAGAGAAAACTGGAGGAATCCCTGAAAACGAAGCTGCAGTCAGACAGGCAGAAAAAGCCTCATTTCAAAAGGATCCAGCTCATTTCTTTGCTTTGAAATCCAAATACAGCATTGACTCACTTATCAGAAAAAAGGAATAATTCAGCTTTTTATCACCTAAATTTACCTCACAAAACAAAGCCTCATTTAAAAAGCATCCACTTTCTCTTTGAAATCCAAACACAAGGTTGACTCTGCTTTATGAAAGTATTCGTCCGCCTTCAACTTTTGACCTTTTGCCACATTTCAGGCTTCAAACATAAAGATATAAAATTGTAATTTGTAAAGTGGGACAAAATCATGAATTTAATTGATTTTTTGAATGAATTGAATTTGAATTTTTTATTTATTTATTTATTTTTAAACTTTTATTTAATTTCTCCCAAACATACAAACTTTGTATAAGACTGGTCAAAAAAATTTCAAACTTTTTTTAATAAATAAAACACTGAAAACGTATGTATTCAGCCCCCTACTGTCTCCAGAGTCTCTGTGAGGCTCTCTGGACTTTTACTGACCGGCGAGGACCCGGTAACCCGGTTACTGTTATTATTTTATTTTATTCTATATTAATATTTCTACATTGTATGTCCTTTCTTGCTTCTCATAGAAGTGTTGTGCACCAAGCACCAAGGCAAACAAATTCCTTGTAAGTCTAAAAACCTACTTGGCGATAAACCTAATTCTGACTCTGACTCTGCCTGCTCCCCCTGGTGGCAGGGCAGAGCAACAGCAGCTGTCCAGCCGGGTTCCAGAGGGCCAACGGGACCCAGTGTGTGGGTAAGTGCCCCCCCAGACCCTCTAAGACCCAGACCAGGGCCTGGAGGCCCCCCCAGACCCACTAAAACCCCGACCAGGGCCGGGAGGGCCCCCCTAGACCCCCTAAGACCCAGACCCA